TGCAAAGTTAATAATGATAGTGCAACTTATTTGTGGCACTGCCGTTTAGGTCATATTGGTGTAAAGCGCATGAAGAAAATTCATGCTGATGGGCTTTTGGAATCACTTGATTATGAATCAGTTGATGCTTGCGAACCATGCCTCAGGGGCAAGATGACTAAGACTCCGTTCTCTGGAACAATGGAGCGAGCAACAGATTTGTTGGAAATCATACATACTTATGTATGTGGTCCGATGAATATTGAGGCTCGCGGCAAGTATCATTATTTTCTAATCTTCACAGATGATTTGAGCAGATATGAGTATATCTACTTGATGAAACACAAGTCTGAAATATTTGAAAAGTTCAAAGAATTTCAGAGTGAAGTGGAGAATCATCGTAACAAAAATAAAAATTTCTATGATATGATCGCAGAAGTAAAATATTTGAGTTATGAGTTTGGCCTTCAGTTAAAACAATGTGAAATAGTTTCACTACTCACGCCACCTGGAACACCATAGTGTAATGGTGTGTCCATACGTCGTAACCGTGCTTTATTAGATATGGTGAGATCTATGATCTCTCTTACCGATTACCACTATCATTTTGGGGTTATGCATTAAAGACAGCTACATTCACGTTAAATAGGGCACCATCTAAATCCGTTGAGACGACGCCATATGAACTGTGGTTTGGCGAGAAACCTAAGCTGTCGTTTCTTAAAGTTTGGGACTGCGATACTTATGTGAAAAAGTTTCAACTTGATAAGCTCGAACCCAAATCGAAGAAGTAAATCTTCATAGGATACCCAAAAGAAAATATTGGGTACACCTTCTATCACAGATCCGAAGGCAAGATATTCATTGCTGAGAATGGATCCTTTCTAGAGAAGGAGTTTCTCTCGAAAGAAGTGAGTGGGAGGAAAGTAGAACTTGATGAGGTAATTGTACCTGCTCCCTTATTGGAAAGTAGTGCATCACAGAAATCTGTTCCTGTGACTACTACACCAATTAGTGAGGAAGCTAATGATAATGATTATTTAACTTCAGATCAAGTTACTACCGAACCTCGTAGGTAAATCAGAGTGAGATCTGCACCAGAGTGGTACGGTAATCCTGTTCTGGAAGTCATGTTACTAGACCATGACGAACTTGCGAACTATGAGGAAGCGATGACGAGCCGAGATTCCGCGAAATGGTTTGAGGCCATGAAATCTGAGATGAGATCCATGTATGAGAACAAAGCATGGACTTTGATTGACTTGCCCAATGATCGGTGAGTCACTGAGATTAAATGGATCTTCAAGAGGAAAACGGACGTTGATAGTAGTGTTACTATCTACAAAGCTAGAATTGTCGCAAAAGGTTTTTGACAAGTTCAAGGTGTTGACTACAATGAGAGTTTCTCACTCGTATCTATGCTTAAGTCTGTCCGAATCATGTTAGCAATTGCCGCATTTTATGAAATCTGACAAATGGATAAACAAAACTGCATTCCTTAATGGATTTATTAAAGAAGAGTTGTATACGATGCAATCAGAAGGTTTTGTCAATCCTAAAGGTACTAACAAAATATGCAAGCTCCAGCGATCCATCTATGGACTGGTGCAAGCATCTCGGAGTTGGAATATACGCTTTGATAAGTTAATCAAAGCATGTAGTTTTATACAGACTTGCGGTGAAGCCTATATTTACAAGAAAGTGAGTGGGAGCACTACAACATTTCTGATTAGTATATGTGTATGACATATTGTTGATCGGAAATAATGTAGAATTATTCTGCAAAGCATAAAGGAGTGTTTGAAAGGAGTTTTTCAAAGAAAGACCTCGGTAAAGCTGCTTACATATTGAGCATCAAGATCTATAGGGATAGATCAAGATGCTTGATAAGTTTTCAATGAGTACATACCTTGACAAGTTTTTGAAGTAGTTTAAAATGGAACGGTCAAAGAAAGAGTTCTTGCCTGTGTTACAAGGTGTGAAATTGAGTAAGACTCAAAACCCGACCATGGCAGAAGATAGAGAGAGAATGAAAGTCATTCCCTATGCCTCAGCCATAGGTTCTATAAAGTATGTCATGCTGTGTACCAGACCTATTGTATACCCTGCTCTGAGTTTGGATAGGGAGTACAATAGTGATCTAGGAGTATATCACTGGACATTGGTCAAAATTATCCTTAGTGGAATAAGGATATGTTTCTCAATTATGGAGGTGACAAAAGGTTCATCGTAAAGGGTTACGACGATGCAAGTTTTGACACTAATCCAGATGACTCTATGTCTCAATCTGGATACATATTGAAAGTGGGAGCAATTAGCTAGAGTAGCTCCGTGCAGAGCATTGTTGACATAGAAAATTGCAAAATACGTATGGATCTGAATATGGCAGACCCGTTGACTAAACTTCTCTCACAAGCAAAACATGATCACACCTTAGTACTCTTTGGGTGTTAATCACATAGCGATGTGAACTAGATTATTGACTCTAGTAAACCCTTTGGGTGTTGGTCACATGTCGATGTGAACTATGGGTGTTAATCACATGGTGATGTGAACTATTGGTATTAAATCACATGGTGATGTGAACTAGATTATTGACACTAGTGCAAGTGGGAGACTGAAGGAAATATGCCCTAGAGGCAATGATAAAGTTATTATTTATTTCTTTAGATCATGATAAATGTTTATTATTCATGCTAGAATTGTATTAACCGGAAACGTAATACATGTGTGAATACATAGACAAACAGAGTGTCACTAGTATGCCTCTAATTGACTAGCTCGTTGATCAAAGATGGTTATGTTTCCTAACCATAGACATGAGTTGTCATTTGATTAACGGGATCACATCATTAGGAGAATGATGTGATTGACTTGACCCATTTCGTTAGCTTAGCACTTGATCGTTTAGTTTGTTGCTATTGCTTTCTTCATGACTTATACATGTTCCTATGACTATGAGATTATGCAACTCCCGTTTACCGGAGGAACACTTTGTGTGCTATCAAACGTCACAACGTAACTGGGTGATTATAAAGGTGCTCTACAGGTGTCTCCGAAGGTACATGTTGGGTTGGCGTATTTCGAGATTAGGATTTGTCACTCCAACTGTCGGAGAGGTATCTCTGGGCCCTCTCGGTAATGCACATCACTTAAGCCTTGCAAGCATTGCAACTAATGAGTTAGTTGCGGGATGATGTATTACGAAACGAGTAAAGAGACTTGCCGGTAACGAGATTGAACTAGGTATTGAGATACCGACGATCAAATCTCGGGCAAGTAACATACCGATGACAAAGGGAACAACGTATGTTGTTATGCGGTCTGACCGATAAAGATCTTCGTAGAATATGTGGGAGCCAATATGAGCATCCAGGTTCCGCTATTGGTTATTGACCGGAGACGTGTCTCGGTCATCTCTACATTGTTCTCGAACCCGTAGGGTCCGCACACTTAAGGTTTCGATGCCAGTTATATTATGAGTTTTGATGTACCGAAGGAGTTCGGAGTCCCGGATGAGATCGGGGACATGACGAGGAGTCTCGAAATGGTCGAGACGTAAAGATCGATATATTGGACGACTATATTCGGACATCGGAAAGGTTCCGAGTGATTCGGGTATTTTTCAGAGTACCGGAGAGTTACGAGAATTCGCCGGGGAGTATATGGGTCTTATTGGGCCATACGGGAATAGGGGAGAGAGGCCAAAAGGAAGGAGGTGCGCGTCCCCCTCTGGTCCGAATTGGACAAGGGGTGCAACCCACTTTTCCTTATTCCTCTCCCCCTCTTTCCTTCTCTCCTACTCCAACAAGGGAAGGAGGAGTCCTACTCCCGGTGGGAGTATGACTCCCCCCTTGGCGCGCCCTCCTCCTAGGCCGGCCACCTCTCCCCTTGCTCCTTTATATACAAGGGCAGGGGGGCACCTCTAGACACACAAGTTGATCAAGTTGATCGTCTCTTAGCCGTGTGCGGTGCCCCCCTCCACCATAGTCATCGATAATATTGTAGTGGTGCTTAGGTGAAGCTCTGCGACAGTAGAAACATCAAGATCGTCACCACGCCGTCGTGCTGACGGAACTCTTCCCCGACATTATGCTGGATCGAAGTCCGGGGATCGTCATCGAGCTGAACATGTGCTAGAACTCGGAGGTGTCGTAGTTTCGGTGCTTGATCGGTCGGGCCGTGAAGACGTACGACTACATCAACCGCGTTGTGCTAACGCTTTCACTTTCGGTCTACAAGGGTACGTGGACAACACTCTCCTCTCTCGTTGCTATGCATCATCATGATCTTGCGTGTGCGTAGAATTTTTTTAAAATTACTACGTTTCCAACACGAGGGGGAGAGTAGGGCGGTGGGAGGAGGTGCCGGCCGGCACGGAGGAGGCGGGGCGCTTGGTGTAGCTATTGTCCTCTTTTGTTATTTTGGCGTTGGATGCTCGCTATGTCTAAACGGACAAAATCCGTGTATGTTTGGGTCTCTGCGTTGGATTGCTCTTACAACTTACTCGTGGTAGGTAGTCCACGATGGACCGCCAAAGGCTTCTTTTCAAAGTCAGAGATCAATCAAGCGCCCCTCATTTAAAACAATTATAATGAAATAAACCATGACAATCTTGGATCTAAGGATCTCACACATAATATATGTAAGACCGAAAAATAGGGAGATGATTTCTACCGCTCTCGGGACGTTACAATTCATCAAAAAAGTTCTTCACAATTTGTTCACACGCTTTGTTGGATATATATATATATGCTTTGGTAAACAAATCAGATGTGTCGGACCAAATAAAAGACCATGTTACTTCCATATGCATATTGCATCATTCATATGTTGACAAACACAAAACTAATACAATTTAAGCTATGCTCTGTAGTACAAAGTAATGCAATTTGTGAAAAGTAGTGCAGTCCCAACGAACTTTTCTTATTCTAGTGCGCAAAGATGCAATGTAATAAATTCATACGCTAAAAGGAATATACCTGAACATACATCACAAGATAGATACCATGTAGTTTGCATCACCTCAACAGTATATTTTTGACGCCCACCCATGGAATAGCTCTGAGCTGCAGGTCATATCTTCGTCTTATTGTCAACCCAAATTTCTCAGACATGTCAAATGAAGTCAGACAAGCCCCTTCAGGACGCATCCAATTGAAATGATACAACATGTTTGCCAATGTGATGTGCACTGTCGATATGCCAAAGAACATCCCAGGGCACTGCCGTCGCCCAGCCCCAAAGGGAATAAATTCAAAATATGTCACATTGTAATCCATATTGTTGTTCTCAAATCTCTCGGGCTTAAACTCTTCAGGATTTTCCCAATATCTTGAATCTCTGGAAATTGCGAAGACATTAACTAATACATTGGTGCCTTTAAGCATGTCATAACCCATAATATTGCAATCATCTCTAGCCATGCGAGGGACTAGAGGAATGGGTGGATGCAACCTCAGAACCTCCTTGATGACCATCCTCATGTAGGGGAGTTTAGCAATGTCACAATTGGTAATGATAACTCGGTCTTCGCCAAGCACCTCTCGGACCTCTAGTTGTGCTTTAGTCATGGCTTCGGCATTGTTCACAAGTTCTGACATAGCCCACTCCAAAACGGTTGCGGTGGTATCCGTGCCACCAGCAAACATGTCCTGAAATGATGATTATGACATGTACAATTATAAATTATACATATTGAAGTGGAATTTAAAGCCAATAACGCCCACATATGTTATATTATCAATACTATGTTTTATATATTTGCCAAGGGCCAAGACAAGGATAACTTCCACATAACTTGTTTAAGAGCTAGGTATGTATTCTTTTCTATAATTTATGTGTCATGTTGGATCATGATTTATATTGACTTTCATGTTGTAGGGCGTGTAGTGCTTGTGCTCATTGAACCAAACATGCACACGTTACCAAAATACAGGACATTTTGCTTCATGCCTTAAAACTCCACACTGCTGGACAACCACGTCTCACACAACAATTTATCCCCCTTCATCGAGTATGTTGTCATCGTGTTTGTTTCAATGAGAAAAAATGACAATGGCATTTGGCGGGACACTTGTCAGGCATAGTGTCCTCCGTGGATGGCGTCGGCAGGGGGCGAAGGATACCCGGGTTGAGGCTGGATCTAGGGTGGAACGACATCATAGTCCAAAGAGAGCGGCGCAGTTGAAGGTGGAGGTCCGACAAGGCCTGGGTGGCAGCCAGGGTGGTACATCGAGCAATGCTACATCCACGAAATATTTTATGTACAATTACGTGATTGTGTGACTTGGCAATATTTGATTGGAATAAGGGAAAGGGTGAGGCCCACCCCCTGATGGGGAAAAGAGAATTTAGAGGAAGGTTACGTAACTGAGTTACGTAAGGTTTCGTAGGTGTATGATTTTTGATGGTACATCGGTGGCAGCAGCCTCAGCGGATACAGAGCACAAGGGGAGGGTTAGAGTGGAGGAAGGGGTGGCTCTGGGTGGGGTATTTTGGTGTGCCTGGGGTGTTAGAATCAAACATGGCGGACATCCAGACCTCCCAAACCTCTCTCGAGTTTGGCTTTAGTTTGTGGGATTTTGGACATCCATAATGGGTGTGCAAAATTTTGGTGACCACCAATGGATAACAAAAAAATATCTGAACTGTCCGGTTCAAACATTTGAGGCGAATTGATGATCCGCGTCGTAGTTGCCCTATGGAAAGACCAAAGAAAGGAATAGATGACATAACCTTATCTTTATGTATTTTTTTAAGTATATGAGAGATTGTATTATGTTTTTGTTTAGTATATAATAGACAAATAAATAGATAGATAAGAAAGAGAGTGATATGCTGGTAGAGAGATGGTCAGTAAATCGGCAATCTAGCACTTCTGTGTTTTCTTGGAGTTCCAAGAGCATATTTTCATTTCTGTTGTATTGTATTAATTGTGTTTTACGAGTAGTTAGTTATTAGCACTACTATATACTAGGGGGAAAATAGATAGATACTAATAGAAACTTCCTATCAGAAAGTAAAGTACTTACAAACATGACGGCGCCTATAATCTCTGTGGTTAGAGGGAATTCCAAAGAGTCCTCGGCCTGCAGCCTGAGCAGCACCTCCAGCAGATCCTCGTCATCGGTGCTGCAGGAGCCATCGCCGGCAGCTCGTGCGGCCTTGCGCTCGTCGAGGATGTCAGCGATGATGCTCTGCATACGGCCGTAGCTCCTCCTCATACGCCTCTCGACGCTGTTAAGCCACCGCACCAGCCGCGAAGAGGGGAAGATGTCGACGAGGCAGAAGCCGGTGACAAGCTCCATCGACTCGCCCAACTCGCGGATGTACTCGTCCCGCTGCGCGACCGTGCCGCCGAAAACCGCCCGCGAAACGACGTCGTTGCTAAGCATCGCCACCTTCTCGCTGACGTTGACCGTAGCGCCGGCGCCGGCGCCGGCCGAGGCGGAGTATCTCCATGACGCACACCTTGCGCATCTGGCGCCACGCGGCGCCGTAGGGGGCGAAGGCGATGTCCTTGCCGCCGCTGCCGAAGATGTCCTGCGTCACGGTGCGTGGCCGGTCCGCGAACGTGAGGTCGTTGGTCTTCAAGACCATAGCCGCCACCTCGGCGCTAGAGACGACCATGGTGGCGACTTCGCCTAGCCTGAGGTGCATCAGCGGGCCATGCCGGCGAGACAGCTCTGCAATGGTGCGGTGCGGGAAGGCGCCGACGACGTGGAGGAGGCTGCCGACGATGGGGAGAGTCCATGGCCCTGGAGGCAGCTTCTTATTGGGGTTGTTCCTGCGACGGGAGAGGTCGAGAAACCAAATTGCCAGGAGCGTGGATCCGGCTATGAAACACAAGCTTAACCACCCGTCCATGGCAGGCAGCTTGTTGGCTTGCAGCTTGCAGAGACGTGATATGTGCTTATATGTATGTAGTCAGTGACGGCCTCGAAGTTTGGTTGGGATACAGGCAACTTTGGAGCTAGCTCCTGCATGCATATAGTCAAGCCAAACTTGGAGTAGTAAAATATGATAGCTGTTGAGTAGAAATAAATACAGTAGGGATGGACTTTGATGGTCACCTCTGTCGTGGTCCGTGGGAATTATAAGGGAGTATAACGTGGTCATAGCCAGTACTTAGTTCAATAATCATCAATCAAGTATGTAACTAAATGCCTGCTACTACTTTGCTCTCCCAAGCTGCAGCATGAGAACGGTATGGCATAGGCATTTCATCAACCACATGCACATGTGTAAGGTGATTCCTTGGTTCAACTGTTGTCATGCATGAATGAAGTATATAAAGCAGAGAGGCCAATCACAATCAGAATAAACCTTGGAGGCCCTGTGTGGCTCGGTTAATTAAGGAGCACCCGCGGAGGCCTGAGCGTTACATCCGTCTGCGGATGAATCTTTCTCCAACTATGGAAGACACATACTCCTACATGATGGGATGGAAAGTGACCGAGGATGCGAAGAGGACTCGATCATTTGAGGAGGGTGGGGCTGGGCCTAGGAAAATATAGAGCCGGCCAGCCTGTCGCCTGCCATGCCAATTAAGCTTGGCGATTCCTTTTTCAATCTAGTTGCTCCGAGGATGGGGAGCAAATCAGTAGGGGCTAGGCGCTAGGGTTGGTAAGGATGCAATGGGTACGGTACGGTATGGGTAGGGGTAGGGGTGGTTACCACGAGCACAACAATACATACCCCTTTTCATGTATATATAGGGTCTAATATGTTTTTCGAAGTAGTCTTTGACCAATGATAAAATTATTAGTATATGAGTTATATGATATAAAAGTTATATCATTAGAAACTTCTTTCACATACAAATTCAATGATATGCTTTGTGTAACATGCATGTCATATATCACTGTGCTGACCCGTGGTCAAAGATAACCCCAAGTGAAAAGTGGGAGTACCCATATTTCTCAAGGCCACAAAATCCTACCTATACCCTGCCCATCTAGGGCAAAACCATGCACATGTTGTACTCCCTCCGTCCAGGTTTATTAGACCCCTCTTATTTTGTGCTAAATTTTGACCAACAAATTTAACTAATAAAATGTAAACTACATGTCATAAAAATTTCATCATCAGAAAGCTCTTTGAAATACAAATCCAACAGTGTACTCTTTGTAGCATATATTTTATATTTTATTAATCATATGGATGGTCAAAGTGTGGCTCAAAATAATAGAGGCCTAATAAACCCGAGCGGAGGTAGTAGGCGCCAACGAAGAGATTTCTAGGGTTGGGGAATTGGTGATGGGAAGGAGGATGGGGGCGGAGTACTGTTGGGGAACTGCGAGTGGGGGTGGAGCCTTGGAGGTGGGCTATGGTCAGGCCTTCTAGAACTTTGAAACTTATAGGGACTCGGTAGCTTAGGGTTTATGACATATATGGCCACGTATAAGATAGTCGGATAAGGTTTCATGCATATCCATGATCACAAAAATTTGGAATCTCATACATTCTTCGCTCGCTGCGAAGAATAGTTAGTATGCATTCGATATGAATCACACAGTGAGGCATTGGGGGCAACCGCATGGGCCGGCCGATTTACACACTAGTGATACGACGGGTTTCTTCAGCTTCTCTAAGTGTATTTCTTCTTATTGGTTTAGGGTGTTTTTTCCATTCTTTCGTTGCATTTTTTTCTTAATTATTTAGTTATTTAAAATTCATGAAAATCTTAAAAATTGTGAATATTTTTTATTTGTGAACTATTTTAAAATTTTATCTTAAACATCTATTTTTTTAAAGTAACATTTTTAAATTTGTAAGCATTTTAAAAATCATGAATATTTTGTACTGTATGATTATTTTTCAAAATTCGTGAAGATTTATTAAACTCGTGAATATTTTTTCAAAGTCCACAAACATTTGTATACCACATGAACACTTTATCAAATATAATAAAATAATTATATACTTTTATCTAGTTTTTGACAAGATTTTCTAAATAATGCTAAAAAGGAAAAAAAATCGAGCAACCAACTTTTCCACCTTTTTTCCTTCAAAGCAAAGAACGGATGAGTAAGACCCCGTTTGGTTCATAAGTCCTAGGACTTTTTCTAGTCCCAACTAAAAAGTCTCTAGTCCCTAAAAAGTCACTCCCTGTTTGTTTTCAGAAACTAAAAAGTCCCTAGTCGCTTCCTAGAGGTTATTAAATGACCATGTTGCCCCTAGTATATAGAGAAATAACAATCAAACAACATCATGGGGTGGCGGGCCAATGAATGCATGGAGGGGCATTGTTGGAAAAGTCCCAAAAAAGACTCATCTTGAGAGTCTTCTTCATTTAGTCCCAAATGTCTAGTTTAGTCCCTAAAAAGTCCCTCCCGATTGGTAAAAAAGTCTCTAAGAGGGAATTTTTCTAGTCCCTACACAAAAAAGTCCCTGGAAACAAACACCCCCTAAATAGTAGCCAAGTGAACACCATCCGTAGGAAGCTAGTAGTTTTTAATTCTAAAGGATAGGAGGACCCCAAAATTGTACTAATGCTCAACCACCTAGTTAGGTAGGGTTCACGTTTTCCTAAAAAAAGGGTAGGTTCCCTCACTGTCCGTGGGCATAAAAATATATCCATGACCCACCCATGCAAATGGAATACACATGCTCATGGATAAATTGCCATCCTTAATAAGATACATCGACCGGAGACATCGCAAGGAGAATGATTTGTACAAAAATAGCAAAACCGAATTGATATATTCATACATATGCATGTTTCAAACACATAATAGAAAACCATGAGAAAAAACTTAATACGAGGCTAATTAAATGAGTCCGACGAATAATGCTCATACTATATCATATTTTTTTTGTCGGACTTGAAAGCGGGTTGAATGCGGTGCAGATATAGATTGGTATACCAGATTGTGGCGGATTTGAACGTGGTATGGTAACAGGCGAGACTCTGATCAGAAACGAGAATATAACATATGCATATATACATGCTCTCAACTAAAATCATATATAAACAATGAATGATTATTAGTACCTATAAATTTAAGCACACGTAGAGCCTTAAAAGGACCAAAATAATCTAAACTAACAACTAACAAGCATGTCTGATAAGAAAAACAACATTCACATACTGCTAGTTAATACTTAAAGTTTTATCAATAAATTAGATAATCATATTTAAAACATCAGATTATCGGGCTAAAATGGATTATCTTACATAGTTGTATATTACTACTCCATTGGTTTCTTCTTACTTCACATATTAGCTTTGTTGTAAGTCAAACTTCTATGAAGTCTGACCAAATTATAATATATATCAAGAAAATCAACATCTAAAATACTAAATAAAAGAATATGCAATATATATTCCATGGTGAATCTAATAATATTGATTTGCTATTCTCAATGTTGATCTTTTTACAATAAACTCGGTCAACTTCAGAAATTTTGACTTAAAACTAAACTAATATGCGAAATAAAAAGAAACATATGAAGTCGGATTCGGATTGGATTGTGGATGGATGTCATAATCTCTAACATTTTGTACTTTGGGATTCAAAAATAGTTTTGTTCATAAGTTATCCTAACCACTTTCACCCTTAGCATAAGAAGCTAAGGTTTTGAGCAGAAGTTGGAGATCGCTGCCATTGCAGCCGGTTGGCAGGCTGACATGCAGACGGAGGCCCCCATTGTGAACACGCCAATGGAAGAGGCCGTCAACATGAGACCGCACCTTTGTCCTCGTTGGCCAATGCCGGCATCACCATGGGCGAGGGTTGTGCGCACTACACTGAGATGGTGTTGGAAGAGCGGTTGTCCGTGTTCCGGCAGACGCAGGTGGACCAGGAGTACAACCTTTGCCTCCTCAACGAGTAGAGTAGCACTGCCGCCACGGCCATCGCACCAGACGTGGACGTGCCTGAGCAGGAGTCGCTTCTTGACTCCTATCGCACCGCCCCGACATCCGCTGCGACCACTGGCGTTACTGCCTCGGAGTTGGAAACCACCTCCATCAGGCGAAGATTGACAAGGCGGCTGATGAAACATACGGCAAAGTGAGCACAAGGACGAGGATGCCAGCACGACCACGGTCGCGCCCGCTGTCACGACCATGAAGTCGACACGTCCGCGGGCGCCAGCAGCAGCTAGGAAGGGTAGAGTATGGGAGGTCGCCGGTGCACGGGTCCCAGGAAGGACACCACTCCTCCCCTTCCATTGAAGGCAAGCTTGGTGGGCTCATCATCATTGACTGATTAGCTGCAAGCAGGTTGCGGAGGCGGAGTTCCATTATCTGGTTCATTTTCCGGGGCTCGTGGCCGGCCGGACATGGGGAATGGACGTCGGCGGCTATTTTAGGCTATGTTTAGAGTCCGGTCTAGTTCAAATATGAATGAATATTGTCGGTGTCAAAACCGGCGGATCTCGGGTAGGGGGTCCCGAACTGTGCGTCTAGGCGGATGGTAACAGGAGGCAGGGGACACAATGTTTTACCCAGGTTCGGGCCCTCTTGATGGAGGTAAAACCCTACGTCCTGTTTGATTAATATTGATGATATGGGTAGTACAAGAGTAGATCTACCGCGAGATCAGAGAGGCTAAACCCTAGAAGCTAGCCTATGGTATGACTGTTGTTCTACCTACGGACTAAAACCCTCCGGTTTATATAGACACCAGAGAGGGCTAGGGTTACACAGAGTTGGTTACAATGGTAGGAGATCTACATATCCGTATCGCCAAGCTTGTCTTCCACGCCAAGGAAAGTCCCTTCCGGACACGGGACGAAGTCTTCAATCTTGTATCTTCATAGTCCAGGAGTCCGGCCGAAGGTATAGTCCGGCTATCTGGACACCCCCTAATCCAGGACTCCCTCAGTAGCCCCTGAACTAGGCTTCAATGCCGACGAGT